CATTATGTAAATTCCACCTAAGTTAATTATCCCCTCATTTAATTGTTCTATTTTCAAACCATCCATTGTGGGATAATACAGAGAACTAACTCACTCCATTGTAACATTGTTTCCCATTTTTTTAAAAATTTATTTATTTTTATTTTATATGCATTGGTGTTTTCCCTGCCCATTTGTTTGCATGATTATGTCAGATCTTGCAGTTACAGACAGTTGTTAGCTGGTATTTTTTTTTGTGGCCAAAGACTTTGAAAATGATTGGACTTACCTGAAGTCACAGGATCTTGGTGTTTCTCCATATTCCAGACTCATGTTTTGTGGCAAGCTAAAACCCAGGCCCTTCTGAGTCCACATGAGATTCAAATTCTGTGTGTTACATTAGACTTTGTTTATAGGTCCAGAGTTAATCTTAAGGTGTCCCTAAGCAAATCAGTTGACTTCTTTTCTATTGGAATGTTGAGACAACACAAGCATCTTCCTGCACTGGGACAGTCAGTGTCTGCCACTTTCTCCAGCACTGCATCTCTCCCACCCCCACTTACTGTTTTCTTCAAGCACAACTTTACTAAGTCTCTCCTTTCATCCCTTGTATGCATGTGTGTGTGTGTGTATGTGTGTATGTGCTAACACTAGAGATAGAGATCCCCCATGATGAGGCAAAAGTGACTGGATGAAGGTATGCTAGAAGTATTTACACTCTGCACCCAGTGAACTTACTTCACACTGTTGAGACAAATTAATGTTTATGGGTGATAACTCAGAGATATCAGGGTTTAGGAACATAAAGGGTATGTGAGGGTTGATTCAGAGGGTAAACTCTCTCTGGAACAACACAAATCTGAAGACACCCCTAAATTTGATTCACAGAACCCTTAGGAGAAGAAAAAAACCAACGCCCCAAAGCTGTCCTCTGACAATCTTGCACACTATACAGCTTACATGCACTCGCCCTCTCTCAAAAGCACACACACACACACACACACACACGACACAATAATAATAAATATAAAAGTTTTTTAATTCTACAAAAGGAACAAGGTAAGGAGATAGAATCTGGTCATATAAGATACAGGCAGCATAGCCAAGTGGTGAGAACGTGCGTAGATTGGGAAACAGTTAGAAGGAAACTTTGGAAATGGGAGCAAGTAAAGGCTAGGAGAGATGATTAAGGGCTGACTAGAAGTTAGTAAAGGAAGAGAGAAGCAGGAAGTTCATCTCTGTTCTAATCTGGTGGGAACCAGGCCTGTCTGTCATAACATCATCAGTTCCTCTTTTGTTTTACAGCCCATTTCTCACTACCCATCCCCCAGTGCTACAATAACCACTGTCACTTGATTTGAAGAACAATTTAAATTGCTTTCACTAAAAACAAGTCATTAAGTTGGAAAAGCTACAATCAACTGAAAGTACAATTTAGTGAGAAATTAGAACATATCCTGGCATGTTTTAGTACATGTTGACAGACAAGAAATCAATTAGTCTTTTACTTCCTCTCTTTACTTTCTTATTATTGTTGCTGTGCTGTTACTATTAGTGTTGCTACTATTCTTATTGTTTTTATTATCATAGAATGATAGTATAATTACATTTTTAAATCTACAAAGAAAACAATGCCAGGAGATATTTGTGGTCAAGCTTGGGCCTTTGCAGATGCCCAGCAAGGACCCTCTCTGAATTGTACCTCCAATCCCAGAGAAATTTTTAAAGTCCTTAGCATTCAGTATTAGACCATGAGGCCTCCCTGGGAATGTGAACAAGAGTTTTGAATAAGAACCCATAGATGCAAAAACAGCTTCATTTTAAAGGGAATAATGATAGCTTATTCTGGAGTCATTTTAAGTGACCCTAACTCAATGTTCAGTGTGGAAGTAGTTTCATAAAATTTTGTAGTTTTACAGGTCTGAGAAAGTTATAAATTAAGCCAAATTTAACATATATTGGTGGGTACAGCAGAGAGGCAGTTACAGTCAGATGGAGAAGATTTTGTATAGGTCATCAGATGACATTCTTAGCATTCAGGTCAGTGGAAGTTAGTGGTCTCTTAAGTTAATAGATTTCATGAACTTTTTACATATTGATCATGGGATATTAGTATTGACACAGTTGGCAAGAAATGTCTGTTTAAGGGGCTAGAGCTATATTGTGGTAAGGTAATTAGACCCTCAATCTACAACATCTCCACTCCACTGTATCTTTATTCAACAAATCAGTTTTTGATGACACAGTTTCATTCCGGGAATTCTCATTTGCAAACCCATGGGCAAAACTCACAAGAAGAGAAACTCACCTTATCTCATCTTTAAAAAAAATCAATTGTGAATATTCTCACATACAATGGTTATACTATAAATGAACTAGAGGCCTTTTGATAATCTATTTTAGAACTCCTTAAATGTGTATCTACTTTAATTCCATGACTTCATACCTAAAAAGTCTTTCTAAGTATATTGTAATGTATATCCCATGAATTTTTTAAACTATCAACAGAAAAATGTTGTAAAAGAACTTTTCTCATCAGTAGAGGATTATTTGATTTATACTGTATAAAAGTATTAATAATTATATTTGGCTTAAAATATCTTATAGAACAATATTTATAAAATATAAAAATACTTTTTACTTATAGGAAAATATCAAGAAACATGGTGTAAATTGATGTGCTGATATATAGTTGTAATCCCAGCAGTGAAGAAATTGAGTCAAGAGGGCATGAGATTGAGAGCAGCCTGGGCTGGTCAAAACAAATAAACAAGCAAACAAAGCAAACAAACAGTAAAAAACAGAACAAAAATAACCAAAGACTACATATGCATCTCAAAGGTAGAATATTTGCTGAGCATGCTCAATGTCTTATAGTTGATAAATCACACCATGAAAATAGCAATAAGACTACTCTATATGGAAGGCCATCAACGTCCACAGTAAATATTATATATGATTAAACAATCTATAAATGTTTTCATCAAGTTTCATGGTAGAAATGTGAGTGCTGCAAAGGCTTCTTAGAGCATACTTAGCTGTGATAAGCACAATTCAAAAACAAGAAGTAATTTTTCTTCAAATAGTAACATAAGGGAAAATGTCTATTATTACAAAATTAGGAATGGAGAAACGTCAGTCATCTCTTTTTATTTGTGGTTTTGCTAAGACACTGATTTTACTTACTTAAAGGTATGCTCCTCTTGGTCTTCAAATATTGATTATGAATATGATTTGCAGCATCTATGATAATATGATGATTCTTCCCTTTCTGTCAGCATCAGCTTCTTCATGCAATATCCTCTTTTCAGTTTCTGTCAGGAGGAGGGGCTGAAAATCATAAGCTAGAGTTTCACTCAGAGGCGATTCAGTTCTGCTTTTTCTCTTGGAGCTCTGAGAAGATCAGTACAGAATAGTTCAAGTGGTTTCCCAACTGGAAATCAATTCCCTCCACCGAAATAATTTCCTGGTTGAGACACAGGTAACAGTTTCTTTTACTGTTTTTCTATCATGTAATCCAATGTTCTCTAGAGAATTATAGATGGCGTGACTTGAGAGTGGGATAGATGGGGAAGTCTGTCGCCTGTGTTGGATCTAGTAAACTATGCCAGCATATGGAAACAGGAGTACAGCACTGGTACTTTTCTTTCTGAGTGTTCTGTGACTTCCGCTGTGTGATGAGAAAATAGAGTAAGGGATCTATAGAGTTCATTGCTTTTTATTTGGTCAAATATTTATATATTATCCATCTTGAAGAACTCATAATGGGAGCCAGGTAAGATGGCTCAGTGTATAAAGATATGTACTACACAAGTCTGACTGACCACCAGAGTATTATCCCTGAAACCTACTTAAAGGTTGAATGAGAGGACTCACTTAGTTAAGTTATTCTCTGGACACCTGCCCCATGGCTCAGATAACTCCAACCCTACAAATTTCCAATAATAATAAATAACAATTTTTAAAAATTATTCTTAAATATGTTTCCCCTTTTTCAGCAAATAAGGGAAAACTTGAAAACTTTCAGAAAACTATGTAAATTAGAAAATTAGAGAAGAATCAATCCATGTACTATTCGTTTTCCATATTATTTGTTGGGTACCATCTTATTTATGAATATAAGGCGAAAACTAGTTAGGAATATTTAGTATTTAATGATATATTGATATCTATGATCAGAAGGAATCCTTCATGGCATTTGCTAATGATTGTTTTATATGGATGAAAGTCATTTTCAAATAAATTCCTCTGGCAATATAAACTAGAATATACTGTGTGAAATTATCGTGAACTTAGAATGATTTGAGATTAAAACTTCAAATTGTTGTTCCTCTCTCTAGTGTTCCTGCATCCCACCCATGCAATATCCCTTTTTGCTTTTCTTGTTGATGGAGTTACTTCAAGTTATGTAGCATGTCTGAAGACTTGGAGTCAGGAGCTCAGATGAAAGAGAAGATGCAGTGGTAGTCTTTCTGGGTCTAGGTTTTCCACTCAGTAGGATTTTCCTAGAACCATGCATTTGTCAGGCCTGGCTTTGGAGAAGAATGTATAGGCTAAGTCTGGGTGGAGAGGGTGGACATCTCAGGTGTTTGGACTTTTACCGAAGAAATATTTATATATCTTGGAGCCCAAACTGTTAACCACATGGAGTATTAATCATCATATATTGTTTTGAAGGTGGTGTCTGGGAAACATTGAGAGTCATATATAATTGAAAAGACTGAAAAACAGTTTTTATATTTTTGTATTTATCAAAATGTGTAAATAATTTTAAAATAAAATTTTATTCATATAGAAAACATTGACTGTTATTTGAATTGTTGGTTTGAAAGTGTTTTAATGATTTGCAGTAGTTCCAATTTTGCCTAAGTATTTATATGTGGTCAATATTTTAGACAAACATTCTGTGCCAATATTACAATAACTTATTAGTAAATTTTCCATTCTTTCTATATTTCCTAATAATAAGTGCTGCAAATATTAGAGGTATAAATGACAGAAAGAATCTTACCTTCAGTGGAAATCAGGGACAGTTCATGTGATTTAGGGTGTCTTAAGACACTATTTCTTTCTACTCCACTGCAGCATCAGATCCAGGAAGCATTCTAAAGGTGCCATATTTTAACTTTTTCTTTAGAAATCTCTCAAGGTCAGATTTTAACACAGACATCACTCTACTCACTCTCAAGATGACCGATGAAGAGATCACTTATGCAACTGTGAGATTCCTGAAGTCTTCTTCAGGGTTGCAGAATGAAGGAAAGTCTAATGAGACTCAAGGGCCCAAAAAAGCTGGCCACAAAGGTAAGTGTTTTATGTATCTAAATTTGTCTGTTATTTAGTCATCTTAACTTTTGACATTTAAAAAAATATTCTACTGGCTTCTATTGAAAACTATAGTTCTTCATTTTAGCTGGAGGTGGTGATACACAGGAATAGGAGAAAAATAAGTGAGTTTAATAAGTAAGAGAGCAATCATGCAGAAATTGTTTAAACATAAGATTCAAAACTAAGTAATCAATTTTTAAAAGTAAAAAGAAAAAGAAAAAATATTATATTTAACTTTTACTAGTATGATAGAAAGCCAAATGGGTAGAGAAGATTAGTAAAAGTCTATAAGAAAAGAGTTCTTGATAATTGACAAGTGAGAAGTGAATACATCCCATCACAATTGAGAAGCTCTTAGACGGTTTTGACTATTTACTCTAGTCAAGGAGAATTCTGAAACCTTGAAAAGTGACAAAGTAGAGTCTGAAGTGGTGTAGGAGGTTCTTCTGTCCATGTGTTGCTTTCATTGATTGAATAAAAAACTGCCTTGGCCTTTTTATAGGGCAGACTTAGGTAGGCACAGTAGACAAAACTGAATGCTGGGGAGAAGGGAGACAGGGAGCCACCATGGAGATACCAGGTCAGAAGCATTTAATCTTTCCTAGTAAGTCACGACCTTGTGGTAAATGCTGATTATTAAAAATGGGTTAAATCAGGATGTGAGAGTTAGTCAATAAGAGGTTAGAGGTAATGTGTCAGGCAGTGATTTAATTATTACAATTTCTGTGTGATTATTTCGGGTGTATACTAGCAGGGCAGCCCGGATCAAAAGCAGGCCCTCTCTCCTTACAACACTGAAGAAACACCAAAAGTGCTAGATGAATAAAACCTTATTGAAATTCAGTGTATGCATTAAAAACAACACTTCCACTCTAGCAGAAGGTGTTTTAATTGTCTTAAGTAATTCCAACATCAAATGCAATGAAACTCCAAGAGCAGTCCATCTGATGAGAAAGTCTTTTCCCAGGAAGAAGGCAGCAGAGGAAGAGAGGGGATGAGAGAGGGTAGTGGGGATGTGCAAGGCTAAACCACAATATGCATTTTGATAAATGTCAAAGATAATTAAGTTTATTAATAAAAAAGAGGAAATCTCACTTTTCTAATCTTTTTTCTGCTTATTCTGCATTAGCTGTAACAGTTGAACTCCAAGCTGAGAACTTTTAACTTCTTTGACATAGTGATAATCAGAGGCTTGGTTTTCAGACATTAAGATACACAAAGACGTTTAGTATTGTTAGAGAAAAGTAGAACTTATGGGAAAAGAAAGAGAGTTAACTTCTAGGCCCGAGAAAGGATGGATATGTATACAGGTCAGCTCCATAACAACCGTGGTTCCCTATAGTTTGCAAGAATAACCATCCCTCTTTCCTTCCTCTTAATCCTCAGTTTTGCCTACTTGGTGGACTGCATGCTCCAATTTGGCATCTTCTACTTGGTCTGTGTCTGTGCCTCCAGTGCTTTCAGAAGGACACATTTTGATCTTGTAGAATTGGATCAGGGGTATGTGCCTGTCATCCAGCTACTTCTTGGCTGAAGTGGGAGGCTTGAGAATACAAGGTCAAAGGTGAAAAAGAAATTGAAATCCTGTGAAACTTCCCGCATGGAGGATTTCTAAAGTGGTAGATACCTAAAAATTTTAGGTAGATACCTACAAATTTGAAAGCATATGTTCATTCAAGTTGTATGATGGACTTTGTAAAACTCCAAGAAACCAATATCCTCTTGTTTCCAAGCGACAAAAATTATAATTAGTATTGGTGCATGGTTATTTTACTGTAATTATTTTCTTATTTTGTTTGTTTGTTTAAGAGGGCTCAGTCCCATGGCATCTCATTGCAATACCTCTGGGAATTCTTTGTTCCATTCTTCTGGTGGCTCTTGCAGTGTTGGTGGCACACAGTGAGTAACTGGTATAAAACTTTTTTGCCTTTCTGTCTAAGTAATAAATTTAGACACAAATTACGATAACACACTCTATCCATTGTGCTTCCTACAATCAGGGGATGTGCCAGTTAGCTCTGGACTTTGTTTTTTTTCTTTTTAGGTTTTTGTTTTGTTTGTTTTCTTAATACACTACAGTGTTCTGTTCTCATACATACATATTCTATTTACTCTGGGGATGTTGGGAATTACCTTGTTCTGTCGTATTCTTTGTATTCTTCCTTTTATAGACTTGGTGGTAGCATGCTTTCTGAGCTTAGATGATTGTGAACCTTATTTATACATTCTGTGAGAAACAATTGTGCAAAATAGATGATGATCTTCTATTCATTTTCCTCTGTGTATATTGAGGACATGGTTAATTGAATAGACTTAATCTCTACAGATACATTAAAGCTTAAGTTTTATTAGATTCCTTCACATTTTATTCTCAGGCTGTGCTAACAAATGGCTACATATTTGAATATTTTGCTGTCCCTCTAGTCCAATGAGAATTGTGCCATTTCTTAATGTGTCTTAGTTCACATTGTCATGCTTTGTTAAGTATTCAATAAGTATTTTATTTAGGTATTAATTTGAAAGTTTTGTGCTTTGAAAGCTTAATTGGAAGTTGTGGTTCATCCACCAAAGTTTTATTCAGCTGTATTGTCTGCTTTACATTAAAGTTACCATGATAGAGGGAAGTTCCTGTTCCCATTTTTATAGGGAGTTAATTGAGGTGATACTTTCTAAATGTCAAAGCACCACTTTAGTAATGATATGTGTTGGTTGTCAACATGGGCTTTCTCTGGTATCATAAATTTCAATATTTACTTCTTATGAGCATTTTTTGGTGTTATATCTGCTATTAATTTTAGTTTTTCAGTGTAAACAAGAAAAACATGAATTGCAGAAAACTCTAAATAATATTGATCAAGAGTACAGAACCATGAAAACTTACTACTACTTAAGGAAAGAAATGTTGAGAAATAAGTCCATAGAGTGTGATGCTCTCAAAGACCATCTGAATTCTCTCGAAAGAAAACAGAACAGATGCTATGGGGAAGGTAAGCTTGTTTTAAATTGCGAACAGCACCCAGGTACAGAGGGGATTTTTTAATAAAAAGTTGCATTAATTTTGTACTATTTCTTCTCCAGAAGATTTGAAGTCCTATTAGCAGCTTGCAATACTGGTGATCTGTGGGTTAGTGACTTGGTGTTTCTTTATCCATGGAAGAACCTGTAATCAACTTTGTTGTTGAGAGAATATAGAAATTTTCAGTAAGAGCATATTCAACAAATTCTTAATCTGAAATGGACTTGGAGCATTTATATGGATGTAGTCATAAAAATAATTTTGCATGTGTGTGTGTGTGTGTGTGTGTGTGTGTGTGTGTGTGTGTGTGTATTCTTTCTTTCTGCATTGGTATAAGAGAACTGGCCCATTTAAAGCCATGATGAAGTTTCTTTCAGCACATTTTGGAGCTTCAAAATGGTGTCTACACTGTGTTGCTCTGGCAGTGACACAGTGAACAAGGTCAAAGAGATGAAAATGGCAAGCATTACAATGATCCCTCTTTACCTTGCATTGTGACTTGTTAACTTTATTTGACACAGTTTTATCATCCATTATTAAATATTTTTTTCAGAATTTAGAATTTACAAACAGCTTTTGCATAGTATTGCTCTATGCCATGATAGAGGTTGACAATTTTCACTACTCAAAGGCTAATAATACCTTTAAAACTGTTAAATTATAAAATATATGTTGGAAACAAAAAAGTGTCAAAATTTTAAATATTTCAGACCCATGAAACATGTTTTATGTTATTATTTTAAAATAACTTTAACATCAGTAAATGGTAGTATATTGTTGGAGTCCTTGTCTTTGGGAGGCTGAGACCTTAGGATTATAATTGAGGACAATCTGGACAGCTCAGCAAATTCCAGGTCAGCCTATGCTACACAGTGATTTCTCTTTATAGAAAAACAAAGGTTGGGAATAAACTTTGTTAACAGAGCATGACCTTTTATAGTACCTCACTAAAGAAAATAATCATATTGATGTGTTATTGCTACACAAGCTGCACACATTTTAATGTTTTCAACTTAATACACTTGGGCATGTGGAAATACCATGGAAGGCATCAACATAATCAAGAGAATAGACTATCACCTTCAAAAACCCTCTCATGTGTCTCTTAAGGCAAGAACATCTAACACAGACCACAGCACAATCTTATGTGCACAGACAGTATGTGTGGATGAACTGGGGACACAGTACATTACTGCAGGTCTAGAATTTCATCACTTTGTAACTGCCTCTGTACAACAAGTGTTTGTTTCATGTACTCCAGCTCTGGTATCTCACAAGACTTTGCTTCTTAGAGCTGGGATGTATTAGAACCCTCATCAGTTGAGTCATAAAATTTGGTTCTGGTTTATTACACTTTTCATACCATCTTCAACTTCAACCATGTTTGTCACTTAGTTCAACATCTCTCTTTTGGGGTTTTGAGGTGTGAGACATTGTTTAATTCTATAGTCCAGGATGTCTCAGAGTCTACTTCATAGCCAAGACTGGCTTGGAAGTCACTACTTAGCCTAGCCTGACCTCAGGCTAGTTGGGGGTAATCCTCTTGTCTCACTCTGTGGAGTGATGAGGCACAAGCCATGGTGCCCAGACAATTTACTTCCCTTTAAAGGATAAATAGTATGTTTTGTGTACATGTGCTGCATGTTTTTTCCTACTGATTTCTCCACGATGGACATATAAACTGTTTCCATATTTCTACTGTTATAAACAAGGCTTCATAGAGCATGGGCATACAGGGATCTTTAAACATTCTAGAACCTCAATTTCTGGGAGCTCTGAAATTTTGCTTAGTTATAGATGTTTAATTAAAACAGTGCTCTAAAGCTGGGCAGTGGTGGTAAATGCCTTTAATCTCAGCACTCAGGAGGCAGAGGCAGGCAGATCTCTGTGAGTTTTAGGCCAGCCTGGTCTACAGAGAGAATTCCAGGACAGGCTCCAAAACTACAGAGAAATCCTGTCTTGAAAAAAACAAAACCAAACCAAGCCAGTGCTCTAAGAACAAAATACTAGAGGCCTCCACCTGTCACCTATGTCCAGCCAGCTCCATGGTCTCCTCCCCTTGCTCAGGTCCACTCGGTCCCTCCCCTGGGCCTCCCAGAGCACCAAGTTGGCAGGAGCCTATAAAAGCCGTACCGTAGGACCTGCGACACACACTGCAAGACCACGACACACACTGCAAGACCGTTAGACAGAGGACAACTGCTGCTCTGCCCCAAGCACCGGTCCGACCATGTCCCACCACTGGGGGTACAGTGGGCACAAAGGACCAGAGCTCTGGTATAAAGACTTCCCCATTGCCAATGGAGAGCGGCAGTCCCCGGTTGACATTGACACCAAGACTTCCCAGTATGACCCTGCCCTCCAGTCTCTAAGTGTATGCTATAATCAAGCTACTTTCAAGAAGATTCTCAACAATGGCCACTCCTTCAACGTTGAGTTTGATGACTCCCAGTACTGTTCAGTGCTGAAAGGAGGACCCCTCAATGGCACCTACAGATTGATCCAGTTTCACTTTCATTGGGGCTCATTCGATGGGCATGGCTCTGAGTACACTGTGAACAAAACAAAATATGCTGCAGAGCGTCACTTGGTTCACTGGAACACCAAATGTGGTGACTTTGGGAAAGCTGCACAGCAACCAGATGGACTGACTGCTTTGGGTATGTTTTTGAAGATTGGACCTGCTACACAAGGCCTTCAGAAAGTTCTTGATGCCCTGAGCGCGATTAAAACAAAGGGCAAGAGTGATGCCTTCACTAACTTGGATCCTCGCTCCCTTCTTCCTGGAAACTTTGACTACTGGACATACCCTGGCTCTCTGACCACTCCGCCTCTGCTGGAATGTGTAAACTAGATCGTGCTCAAGGAACCAATTACCGTCAGCAGTGAGCCCATGTCTCATTTCGGTAGACTGAACTTCAACACAAAGAGGAATCTGAAGAACCGATGGTGGACAGCTGGCGCCCAGCTCCCCCACTGAAGAACAGAAAGATCAAAGCATCCTTTAAATAAAATGGTCCTGTAGCAGGCGTGCAAACAATAGCTGCCTCTCTGTAGCTGAGCACAATTCTACCTTGATGATTTGGATTCCACTTTGCGTCTCTCACCTGTTGTGCTTATGAATCAAATGTGAAGAAGACTCAGGTGTCTCCCATGGTGGTAGTGTGGTGGCAGGTTGGTAGCTGACTTATGGCACACCCAATCAGTCATAGCAATCTAATGCAAAAGACAGAAATGGCTTCTTATCTTTCTTCCCAGTCATAGGATAATAGGTACTAAGTCTTGTGTGCTAAAATGCTATTTTTAAAATGTAGGAAAGTAGAATGACTGGTTACAAGTCCAGATCATGAGACAAACTGAGATAATTTAAGCAAATCAGGCAAAATAGTTACAGTTTTATGATTATAAATTATATAAATGTTCACTATTTCAAGATGTTATATTAAAGAAAAACTTTTAATATGCTTATATATTTGTAGCAATGTTATCTTAAATTTGAATTATGATGTAACTTAGTGACTTGAATTTTAGAGATGCAAATAAGGTGTGAAATTGGTGTAGTTGTGATACAGAGTATATTATAACTTAATGAATAATGTATTTTAGATATTCTCTAATAACAATCAGAATTATAAAATTAAAAAAAGAACAAAATACTAAACAGTAAAAATTTTCACCATTCTCTTCTCTGTTGTAGGCAAACATTTTAAAGGACACTGGTTCTGCTGTGGCATAAAATGTTATTATTTCATCATGGACCCTAAACAATGGGAGAAATGTAATCAGACCTGCCAGAAATTCTGTACATCCCTTTTGAAGATAGATGATGATGATGAACTGGTACCATAGACTTTTACATGCTTCTTTATTCTTAGACTCCTCTAATCCTTGGATAGTGAGATACTGAGCCCGGGCAGGCTTATTGAAAGAGAAAACTCAAAGTGTTGTATTTGGTTTCCCTGTAATGTGAGCAAAAGCTGTGCTCTAAGAGTATCCCTCCTGCTCCTAGCTTAGCATGAAGGCACAGGGTCTGTTATGAGAAGACTCATTAATAAAGTGATAATCGTGTCTTTGCAATCTCCTCCCTTTCTCAGGATTCTGCAAGACAGTACCTCAGAGAAGAATGCTTTCCTTGAGTAAGTTTAACACTTTAGTACAGCCCATTTTTGACTGACAGCTATGTTTCTCCACATAGGTGTAGTGTCAACTATACCTAAAGATGCTGAAGTCTAATACTTGCTCTTTGGCACCTATACATGGGACTGTCTAAGATGAATGATTGGTTGACAGTAGGGAAAGTAACTGATCTCTGAACCTATATGCAAAATGGAGATAAGATGAGAACCATGGAATTAAATGGTTTTACCTGTTAGCTCCATGTGGATTTTCAATGAAATTGTCCAAAATTTTTACTTCATATTATTTTTATGTTTTTAAAAGTATATCTATTTTTAGGAATTAGTCATTAAAAGAAAGCAAAGATGCCAAGATCCTGACTTTTTGTTTAAATTATTACTAACAAAATCTCTTCTAATATGAAGACTATGTTTTTCTAGAGAAATGCTTGAAGTATCAGCTTGAAACCTTGTCATTTAGAACATGGTATAAAATTTAGACACCAATTTAATGCAGGTTTAAAAATTGCAATATAAAAGTATATTAATGTCAAATAATAATGTAGATTTCAATTTGCTACTGTAATCATAATTAAATATATGCCCATGTTTTAGAATGTATTCAGTAATTTAATTAAATATTATGCTACTTGGATGTCACATGTAAGTCACTAAATTTTTCCAAATATCTGTCCCTTTCCTCCTCAATTTCTATCATTTCCAGGTCTGAACTTCAGAACAGCTTCCTCTCTGGAGCATGGGGCTTAATGTACAACTTTTCACACCGGATTTTTCATGTTAATGAATTTGTTTTAAAGACAGGGCATTGCTTGCCACATGCCTCTGTAGTGTTTGGGAATGCACATTTGAATAATTTCACAGAGTCAGAAATTATTTAATGAATTATGTATGTGAAGACTTGTTTTTAGGAGTCACAAACAGGAATATTGAAGTTCATGGTCAGCCTTGGTCACACATTACAACTTTCTTTGAGAAACACACTCAACAAACTATTTCATGAATTCAGCATCTCTAGACACCTAAAATTTTCATTTTAAAAAAGTTATGTAATTGACAAAAGATTTGACATAAATGAGCTACCAGTGGGAAATCACTAAAATGTACTCAGAGGGACTGAAACACTGGAAGGCAGGACAGCAGAGAAATGACATACGAATAGCTGGAACCTGTTATACTTGTTCTCTTCTCACCAAACAGAGGAAAGTTTTATCATCAAATATATTTTTCCCCATACAGAAATTCCTTCAGCTCCAAACTAATCAAAACAATTACTGGATTGGATTATCATATAATGAAAAAGAAAGAAAATGGCGACGGATTGACGATGGCCCATCTAACCTGTGAGTTTCCTGAATCCTCACACTGTATCAAGACTTTTCTCTCATTTCACAAGACTGTTCTCATTTTCTATGGAGCTCACAGGTAAAGACAAGTTGTCTGTGTCAGAGTTTGACCAACTATTAGACAAGGAAGCTGACTGCTAGTGGTTTAATACTGAACGTAGTTCAAGATTTTATATTTTAAGATGCAGAGGGCACAAGCAAATCAACAGTTTAAGATTACATGAAGTGACTGGACCATCCTGACAGATACTATCAGTGTGAATATCTGAAACATTCACTTCACTTGTTTCTCCAGCTAGTTTATATAACTTGTTGTTTATATATATAGAACAAATTTACATATGCATACATATATATTTACCTTCAATTTTGAGATGTTATATTGTATAAACTCCAAGTTTTATGTTAATTTGTAATCTGGTAGAAAACTATTTATTGATTATCTTTATTAATAGTATTTCTTTTTTGAGTATATTGTATATACATTAAATATAATATGATTATACCCTTCCCTCTCACTGCAAGCTTTCTCTGCTTCTGTCCTAATATGTGCCACTCTTAACTCCTGTGTACTTAACTTATTCTGTCCCTAGGTGCATGGTATTATGACCACTGAAGCTAGGTTAGCCACCAGTGGCCACACTCCCCAAAAAGAATGAATCTCCCTTTTCCAGCAGCTGTCACCTAACAATAGTGATTCCTTAAGTGATAGTGGGCAGCTACCCATCTATGCAGGACATTTGTCATGTCCAGAAGGCTATTTTCCACGTTTTTTCCCCTTCTCTGGTTCTTACATTCTTTCTCTTTCCTCTTCCCTTCTATTTCCTGAGTCTTGGAGGTGGAGTTTGGGGAAATCGGTTTATGAAGATGTCCCTATTATGGTTGAGCATGTATTTTCATCTCCTAAGCACTTTGACCAGTTCTGCTTCTCTGCACTACCCATTGCCCACTGTAAGAAGTTTTTCTGATGGTGATTAAGAGGAGCCCAGGTCTAGGTCATAAATATAATTGGTAAGAGTACAATTTGACCACATGACCACTTGGCAAAATGATAGTAGCAGATTCCATACTTAGGCCGATGACCTCAACAATCATGGGCTTTTTATTTGGATTACAAGAGTAAACCTGGCATCCTTCAACTACAATAAGAAAGCAGTTACTTATCCCATAGCAAGGGCACATATTGCCTAGCAGGTCACTATTTTGACATGCGGGTTCCAGTGCTGGGCAAGACAATTCATGTCTTTTCTCTCAGTGGTACTTTGAATGAAATTGGCCTCCATAATCTCATAGGGAGTGGTACTTAGAAGGCATGGATTTATTGGAGTGGGTAGTCTTAGAAGAAATGTGTCACTGTGGGAGTGGGCTTTGAGTTTCCTATGTTCCAGATACCACTGAGTGTGTCAATCAACTTCCTGTTACCTGCATATCAGGATACAGCCAGAATCAAGTCAGCCTGCATGCTGTCATACTCCCCACCATTATGTTAATGCACGGAACCTCTGAAACTGTAAGGGAGGTGCACCAATTAAATGTTTGCTTTATAAGAGTTGCCAAGGTCTTGCATCTCTTCACAGAAATGAAAATGCTAACTAAGAAACTCCTCTAACACACTGCAAATGACTTTTAGACCCATTTAAAGCTAGCCCAAAGGAAGATATCTTCTGATTGGTTTAAGATTGATTTATCTATATCCTGACACCAAATGTGTGGTGTCTTCAGCAATAGGGTATTACCATGTAGTTACTGTGGAAAACCAAGGGCATGACAACAGACTGTTATTTGAAGACATCTGTGGTCTCCTGATCAGTAATTCCTTTGGATGTGTCCCTTGCCTTGCACTTTTATTTTCATTTAGTAACTCACATCTTCTGTGGATATAACTCTTTTTAAAATTATATCCTGATTTTTTTTAAATTAAAGTTTTCCTATAGAATCTATTTTGATCAGGTGTTCTTCCCTGCTTAATACTCAGTTATTTCCCGCCTTCTTCCCTCACTCCCTCACTCAATTTCATGTTATTTCATGTTATTTTTTTCTCTCTCTCCCCCAAAACAAAAAGAGAAATAAAATCAAACTAAAATAAAAGACAATAAAATAAAAAATTGTCCCAAACAAACAAACTCACAAATAACCAAAGAAAACAAGGAGTCTGTTTTGTGTTAGTCAACTATGAACTTACTAACTAGTGGGTGTCCTCAAGGCCTTTTATACATTCTTAGTTTTGTTTGATCCATCCTTTACTCCCTCCTCTTCATTCTTTTTCAGTATTCATACACATTTTATCTCTTAATTCTCAGAAGCCCCTATGCCTTCATATCACATCTTCATCATTTTCCTAATAATTGTTATTTTTAGAAATACAAATTTTAAAAAAAAGATCTCCTAATAATTCTGTGTTTGTCTTCAATAGCTTTGTTAGCTATTTACATTTTAAGTTGCTTTTTATATAATTTAAAAATAAATTTAATTTTTACTGTTTTGTTCTTGTTGTTGTTTGGAGATAGGGATTTGTATCACCCAGGCTGGTCTTGAACTCCTGATCCCTTCATCTCCATCTCTTGAGTGTTGAGACTACAGGCAGGTATAACTGTCATTTATCCCTTTAAAGATATCGCCATAATTAATTTACATGTATTAGTTGGTAGCCCTGTGGCCTGAACTTTAATGGACTTAAAGTAGTGCTTCTGTTGGATTTTGTTCATTATAGTAGATTTTTGTGGTATTCAGTGAATTTCCTCTTCAGCAGAAGAAGGAATTATCTTAGGCATCAACAGTGTTATCTGTCTCAAGAATATTTCTTTCAGTGCCCAAGACCATGGCAGATCTGGCTCTCTTCTATTTAAACGTGGTTCTGCCACCATGAACATCTAGGCTCCAGATCTGCAGGAAAATAACTTCTGCTCTCTCCTCCAAGGACACTGGCAAGTCACATAGGTGGCAGGAAGACAGAAGGCCTTATAAGATGCATTATTATGTTCAAGTCATACAGATTAACACCACTGTTTTGTTATCAATTTATTAATTTTGGATTTTTTTCTATATGAGGTATCATTTCATACAGGCTAGCTCTGTTTTTTTTTTATTATTTGTTTGTTTGCATATACCTCCCAAGTACTAGAATTGCTGGTGCTTGCCACTCTGAAAGGCCATAGAGTTAATAAATTTGTTTGTATCCTACAGCATTATTCAGAGTCAAATGGACAGGTGGTGACTTGTAAAGTGAGGTGCCAAGGGCTGAGAGGATGCCTGTATCCAGGTTAAATGATCTTTGTAGTCCTTGACTATGCTGGAGAACTGTTGCCTGATGATGGTGTGGTAACTACGGCCAGACATGAGGCTTCAGCAAGGAAGCCTAGTGGTCAGGTTTCTGTGGCTTCCATATTATTTTCTCCAGTGGGAAGACACAGAAGCTTGTGCTCAATGTCAGCTTCTAAATGAACCTCATGAGCAGCTGTGAGCTGTGCTTCTTGGGTAGAGGTTCACGCATGCATCACCATGGAGTAAAGCAAAAAGGTCATGGTGCAGAATATGTGTTCCATGTGTATCTTATGAATACTTAGTGTCTGCTGGGTCTTTCCCTCTTTGCTCATGTTCAACACACATGTTTTATTAATTGAACCCACGATCACATCTCATGGCTAACTAATATGTGTATACTTATTCCTACTGTATCGTCCCTACCTATGTTCTGTCTATGATTCATGGGCCACTTAATTTCATTTGTCTCATTTTCTGTTCCAATTGTAAATCTAAATTTTCTGCTTCCACCTGTCTTAAAACCAATGTTAAATGAAGGCGATCTTTTGTTAAAGTTTTACCCCATTTGTCATTTCAGCCCCATGGAATTTGGTAGATTTCTTTCTCTGTCTGGTGCTCTTTGACATAGATTCTCATTAGACTAGCCTAATTCAAATGCAGGGTATTTCCCAAACCAGCCTTGAACTCCTGGTACTCCTGGATTAGTTATTTGGTATTTGAATGATAATTTTCTAAAGATTAACTATTTATTTTAGCCTACCTATTAGTAGAAATATGGCTGTCATGCTTTACTGATGCTTTGGAACTCCCAGCTTTACTGAACCCTCAATTTGTATAAGAATTTGCTTTCTGCCTGTTAATATGATTGAACTAAGTTTAATTATTAGTTAATATTTGATCAGGATCTTGCTCCGTGGGCCAGTCTGACTAGGTTTATAATCCTCCTATAATAGGCTTCCTAATGCTAGGTTATAGTAATGTATCATCTTTCTTTGTGTTTTAGTTTTTATTTATCATTTTGAGTTATTTTTTCATGAGACGGTAGCTGTGGATTAGTATTTATCATTCAGCAGAGGTTGCAGTTGTGTTGCATGTAGGGAAGTCACTTGATCACCATATTTCAGTGATGTCCCAATAGCTCTGAGGAGTGGAAGAAAGAAGATAAACAGGCAAAACAGCAGTCACACACCATCTTCTGTGACTGTACTACAAATGTCCCTTTACTCCTTAGAGCAAAGGCATATAAGAGCTTTTCCTATGTACCACATGCATTTATTTCTTCTTTTAAAACTGTCTTTATTGCAAAAAATATTAGAGAAAAACAATTTCAATGTAAAATTGTTCAGAGAAAATATTGAAAATTTATTTAAAGATGGGAATCAGTGGGAATCAGACAAAAAAAATTTTGTGATCAAAGACCACTTTTATTTTTTATTTAATTCCATTTACTTATTTTTGTGTATATATTCATATGTTCTGTGACAAACAGGTCACAGCACAGGTATAGTTAGAAGATCATTGAAGGAGTCACTTCTCTCCTGTTTTATGGGGTCTGAGATTTTAGCTGTGGTTGAGTGGTCTGGAGCCAATGCCCTCCACACATTGAGCCATGTTACTGGCCCAAGACCATTTTTGATGAATGTAGAGAAAATGGAAATCTTTTGTTCTACATTTCTAATTTTGTTCTTAATTAATTCCATATTCTATCCATTTTGGTTGATGTTTTAGAAACCTTGTTTTAGAAACCTTGGCCTGAATTAATATAAATTTTGAATTTAAATAACTGTCCATTATATTTTTTATTTTATACTGATCTGACAGTAACTGAATCACTGCATAAGACAGGAAACTGTAAATTTTTAAGGTCAGCAGGTGTAGATAATGGTGACTATGTTAGAATCACTCCTGTATCTTGGAAAAGAAAGTGGATAAATTGTCTGATTTGGTGTGCAGTGGGAAGAAAAGGAAAGGTGAAAATGGAATGTGGTCTTCTTTGTTGGTTTCCTGTGATGAATTGTGACTACTTAACAGCCAGATGTTTGAAACACAGGTCTCAGTCTGCCATGAAAATAGAGAGAGGACCTGGAAAGGAAAGAAGTGTTCCTGTGAAATCTGACTTAACAGAGAGCAAAAGTCATTTTTCTCCCTTATACACATAGCAGCTGTATCTGAGGAATGGACACTATGCCTGGCTGTATTTATTATTTATTATTGAGGATATGCATTTTGAGTGCTTTTTTAGTCAGTTTCCTTTAACTATTAAGGGAAAAACTGGCTAAAGTGATTCCATGATCATTTATGTTTTTTTCAAACTCCTGCTAACCCCTCAGCCTGAGTAGAAATCTGATTTCTGTCAGTTTTTTTTACAGGATTTTATTAATTATTATTAATTATTTTTTGACTTCTGGTTTTGCTACATAACCCAGGTTGAACTGAAACTCACAGTCTTTCTGTTTTAGCACATTTACTAATTGCTATGTTTTTTAATTTTTTAATATTTTTTTATTTTGCAGCATTTAATTTTTTCTTCTTTACAAAAGGGGAACTATGGCTTCTAATCTATCATCCTGCAGAAATCAGTGTTGCTATGCATGCAAGGAATTCAGTAGATTACTATGCTTCAGTGAAGACCCATTAACTGTAAAGTGGTGGGAGGTGGAGAAAAGAGAAAGGGAAAACAGCCCAAATCATTAGTTACAAGCCCTCATCTGTGACTGTACTACAAATCTTCCCTTTCTCCCTAAGGCACAAGCAAATGAGCACTTGTTCCTTGTGCTACACACTTTTGTTTCTACATAGCCATTAACTGACAAAATGTAAATGGGAAAGCAGGCTTAGTATAAAATAATTCCTTGGAAATATTGAAAATCAGTTTTATGTCATGACCAAAAGCTGTGAGAGTGGAATAAGATAGGAATTTTGGTAAGACCAAGAAACTATTTCTTATTAATGAGCTCAGAGAAAAAACATTTTAGTGATGTAATTGTGAGCAATAATTCCCATATTCTTCATGTAGAATAGTATAGCAATAGTTCCCATAGTCTTCATATAGAATAGTATAGTAATGTTGACTAAGGTTGCTGTCCCACCAGGTCCCAAGATCGTTCAGTCCCAAAGAAATCACAAAGAGGTCAACGTTAACTATAAACTGATTGGCCTATTATCTCAGGCTTCTTATTAATTCATATACTCATATTAGCCCATAATTCTTGTATGTGTTAGCCACATGGCCTGGTACCTCTTTCAGCCAGGCTGTCACATCATACTTCCTCTGTGTCTGAATGATGACTGCAGACAGACTCTCTCCTCTTCCCAGAATTCCCAGTGTGCCACCTCTGCTTCCTGCCTGGTCGCCCTGCCTATACTTCCTGCCTGACTACTAGCCAAATAGCATTTATTTAAAATACAAGAGACAGGTTACAGACCATTGTCCCACATAGTAATAGTTCCCATATTCTTCATATGTTTTCCATATAGAATTTTAAAAACCATGATATTTCTGCTCAAAATTAAACAATCGCCCATTGTTTTCATTATTTAGTGACTGGAAAATAGTAAATTTCAGTCGTCAAACTGGAAGATGTGCACTTTTATCTAGAAGAAGACGAGGTGATACTAAGTGTGAAAATCGTTACCCCTGTATCTGTGAGATGAGAATGGACTAATTCCCCGATTCACCCTCCAGCAAGAGGTAAAGGGAAGTGTTGATCCTTATTTGCTTCCTGTAACAACCTGTGATTCCTTATTAAAAAGTGTTTTGATTCCAGGATTTCATCCTCTGTGCAGATGGAGGGATGTGCTGGAAGAGGGTGAAAACACTCTCCCGAATCTGACTTGACAGAGCAGAGGACATCTTTCTTCCTGGAGGAGTATATCTTCTCAGAACATGGACACCCCATTACCCCAAGGCCCTGAAGAATCTACACTTTCTTTTTTCTTACATACACATAGAACTAAATAAAGAACCCTAATAAACAGTCTCTGAGTTTTCATTATCAATAGGATAAGTCATCTTAATTGAAAGTGCAATTAAGAACTACAATGTAGTTTTGGGCTTCAATTTCTTAGTTGATATTTGATTTCTGCTCTGTTTTGTTTGTGTATTTTGTTTCATATAAAAGGTTTCTTCATTGGTATAAACATTTCTTTTGGCCATTAAATATAAGTTCAAATTTGGTGAACAGTTGCAAGGATAGTTCAAGGAACTGCTGACTATATTTTATCTAAGACATCAGTTGTTCTACCCTCTCTTCTTTAATCCATCTATCATTAGTTGAGGCCTTATAGAGATGGTGGTAATAATTGAAAATGGCTACATGTAGAGGCTTACACTTATAATCTTAGCAATTATGAGGTTAAGACAAGATTTTGCGGGCCAAAATGAATACAGAGAGCCTATGTCATAGAACCTAACAAACCAAATAAAATTGAGTCCCAAATGTTCCTAAATGTTTTCTAGGGACAACAATTTATCTTATACAACCATACTCAAATGATCAAACTTAGGACATCTAACACTGATATAGTAATTTATTCTAATCTAGGATCCATATCCTCATTCACTGATTGTATAATGTAACTCTGAGTATTTCCTCTATATTCAAGTTCACAAACATTTAGTGCCAATGTCATTTTAGTGTCCTTTAGTCCTAAATAGTTTTGTTAGTTTGTTTTATGTTTTCTGGTGGTTTGTTGTTGGTGGTGGTTTTTGTTCATTTTCTTGCTTGTTTTTTTTTTTCCATGAAAATGTTTCTCTGTGTTTCTCTATCTGTCCTAGAAACTCTCTGTAGAACATGCTGAACTGGAACTGGGTGATTTGCCTGCCTCTGACCCCTAAGTGCTGAGATTAAAGATGTGTGCATAAATATCTTGATAAGCATGAATCTTGCTATATAGACAAGGTTGCCCTCAAACTCATAGAGATTCACTTGCCTTTGTCACTCAAGTGCTGGGTTTAAAGACATGCAATGCCAAGTCCAGCTGAGAAATGTGGAACTTAATAAGTATACTTCTTATTCTCCATTAAATCCAAACAGAACATTTTCATTTCCTCTAAATTATTTTCTTGTCCCAGCTGTACTTTCTTATACTGGAAATTAGATCTATTCCCATTACAGCTTTGTATTTGCTTCTTTGTGCAATCTAGTTTTTAATATTAGCCTATGATTTCTCCTTTATAAAAATGTTGTAATGAGGAGCAGTGGGCTGCATTCCCATTGCCCAGCTCTTGGCTGCCTGGCTAGTTTACACCCGATAATTACACGGAAACTGTATTCATTTATACACTGCCTGGCCCATTATACCTAGCCTCTTCTAGGCTAACTCTCACTTCTTTTGTTTTTTTTTTGAAAGTAATTTTATTAAATTATAAAAGTTTCCATTTCCGCCCCTCTTCCCAACACCCTCCCACTCCCCCCACTCCCTCTCCTCCTCCCTCCCTCTTCGTCCCTTAGGGCAGTCAGGGTTTCCTGCCCTGTGGGAAGTTCAAGTTCCTCCCCCCTCCCTCCAGGTCCAGGAAGGTGAGTATCCAAACAGACTGGATCCCCAAAATACAGTATATGCAGAGGAAACAAGTCCCAGTGTTATAGTCAATGGCTTTTCAGAAAGACTTCGGGTCAGCCACATTCAGAGAATCCGGCCAAATTCAGAGAATCTGGTTAGATCACGTGCTCGTTCAGTCCCAGTCCAGCTGGCCTTGGTAAACTCTCATTAGATCCGCCCCCTTGTATCAGTGGGTGATAGCATCCCTCGCAGTCCTGATTTACTTTTTCATTTTCTTCGTCCTTCTGCTCCTCATTTGGACCTTGGGGGGCTCAGTCCGCTGCTCCAATGTGAGTCTCCGTCTGTATCGCCATCCTTCGCCAGATGAAGGATCTATGGTGATAAGCAAAATATTCATCAATATGGTTATGGGCCAAGGCCGGTTCAGGCACCCTCTCCTCTGTCCAGAGAACAATCTGGGGATCTCGCCTTGGACCTGGGATCCCAAATATAATCAAGTCTCCTGTAAACCTTAAAATGACTCCCTTAGTTGAAATATATTCTTCCCTGACCCCATATTCATCCTTCCTCCCTCACCCCAATCCCGGTCCACCAAGCTTTCCCCATTCCTCCCCTACTCCTTTCTCTCTAATCCTCTCCCCTTCCAACAACCCTCCCACCTCCCCCATGCACCTGAGGTTACCTGGGACTCTTGTCTCTTTCCTACCTCCTGGCAGATAGCTAAATAATCTTCATCAGGTTCATCTTCTTATTTAGCTTCTCTAGGATCACGAATAATAGGCTCAAAGACCTTTAATTATGGTTAGAATCCACTTATGAGTGAATACATACCGTGTTCCTCTTTTTGATGTCGTTGTTTTTTACCGCTGAGTAAAACTCTAATGTGTGTATGTTCCACACCTTTTTTAACCATTCTTCTATTGAGGGGCACCTAGGCTGTTTCCAGGTTCTGGCTATTACAAATAGTGCTGCTATGAACATAGTAGAACAAATGCTTTTGTAGTATGTTCGGGAATCTCTAGGATATATTCCCAAGAGTGGAATTGCTGGGTCCTGAGGGAGGTTGACTCCCAGTTTCCTGAGAAACCGCCACACTGATTTCCACAGTGGCTGCACAAGTTTGCATTCCCACCAACAATGGATGAGTGTTCCCCTCATTCAACATCCTCTCCAGCATAGGCTATCATTGGTGTTTTTGACTTTAGCTATTCTGACAGGTGTAAGATGGTATCTCAAAGTGGTTTTGATTTGCATTTCCCTGATCGCTAAGGAGGTTGAGCATGACCTTAAGTGCCTTTTGGCCATTCGAAGTTCATCTGTTGTGAATTCTATGTTCAGATCAATACCCCATTTTTTAATTGGGTTAATTAGAGTTTTAGTGTCTAGTTTTTTGAGTTCTTTGTATATTCTGGAGATCAGACCTTTGTCTGATGAGGGGTTGGTGAAGATCTTCTCCCAGTCAGAAGGCAGCCTTTTTGTCTTACTGACAGTGTCCTTTGCTTTACAGAAGCTTCTCAGTTTCAGCAGGTCCCATTTATTCATTGTTTCTCTTATTGTCTGTGCTACTGGGGTCCTACTTAGGAAGTGGCCTCCTGTGCCTATATCTTGTAGACTACTTCCCACTTTCTCTTCTATCAGGTTCAAAGTGGACAGATTGATGTTGATGTCTTTAATCCATTTGGATTTGAGTTTTGTGCATGGTGATAGATATGGATCTATTTTCATTCTTCTACAGGTTGACATCCAGTTATGCCAGCACCATTTGTTAAAGATGCTTTCCTTCTTCCATTGTATAACTTTAGCTCCCTTGTCAAAAATTAGGTGTTCATAGGTTTGAGGGTTAGTATCTGGGTCTTCTATTCGATTCCATAGGTCGAGTTCTCTGTTCTTATGCCAATACCAAGCTGGTTTCAATACTGTAGCTCTGTAATAGAGTTTGAAGTCAGGGATAGTAATGCCTCCAGAAGTTCCTTTATTGTATAAGATTCTTTTGGCTATCCTGAGTTTTTTGTTTTTCCATATAAACTTGATTATTATTCTCTCAAGGTCTGTGAAGAAGTTTGATGGGATTTTGATGGGGATTGCATTGAATCTATAGATTGCTTTTGGTAGAATTGCCATTTTTACTATGTTGATTCTCCCAATCCAAGAGCAGGGGAGGTCTTTCCATTTTCTGGTATCCTCCTCAATTTCTCTTTTCAAAGGCTTAAAGTTCTTGTCAAATAGGTCTTTCACTTCCTTTGTTAGAATAACCCCAAGATATTTTATGGTGTTTGTGGCTATCGTGAAAGGTGATGTTTCTCTGATTTCCCTCTCCGTTTCTTTATCCTTTGTGTATAGGAGTGCCACTGATTTTTTGGAGTTGATCTTGTATCCTGCCACGTTACTAAAGGTGTTTATCAGCTGTAGGAGTTCTTTGGTAGAGTTTTTGGGATCATTTATGTACACTATCATATCATCAGCAAATAACGAAAGTTTAACTTCATCCTTTCCAATTCGAATCCCCTTGATCTCCTTATGTTGTCTTATTGCTATTTCTTGAACTTCAAGCACTATATTGAAGAGGTATGGAGAGAGTGGACAGCCTTGTCTTGTTCCTGATTTTAGTGGAAAGGCTTTGAGTTTCTCTCCATTCAATTTGATGTTAGCTGTCGGCTTGCTATATATTGCTTTTATTATATTTAGGTATGATCCTTGTATCCCCAGTCTCTCCAACACCTTTATCATAAATGGGTGTTGAATTTTGTCAAATGCTTTTTCAGCATCCAATGAAATGATCATATGGTTTTTTTCTTTCAGTTTATTTATATGTTGGATTACATTGATAGATTTGCATATGTTGAACCAGCCCTGCATCTCTGGAATGAAGCCGACTTGATCATAATGGATGATTTTTCTAATGTGTTCTTGGATTCGGTTTGCCAGTATTTTATTGAGAATTTTCGCATCGATGTTCATGAGTGAGATAGGCCTGTAATTCTCTTTCTTGGTTGTGTCTTTGTGTGGTTTTGGTATCAGGTTAACTGTAGCTTCATAAAAAGAGTTTGGCAATGACTCTTCTCTTTCTATATTGTGGAATACGTTAAGGAGTATAGGTATTAGCTCTTCCTGGAAGTTCTGGTAGAATTCTGCATTGAAACCATCTGGTCCTGGGCTTTTTTTGGTTGGGAAATTTTTGATAACAGCTTCTAATTCTTCACGACTAACAGGTCTATTTAGATTGTTCACCTGGTCTTGGTTCAACTTTGGTATATGGTACTTATCTAAAAAAATGTCCATTTCTTTTACATTTTCCAACTTTGTGGCATATAAACTTTCGTAGTAAGATCTAATGATTCTCTGAATTTCCTCTGTGTCTGTGGTTATGTCCCCCTTTTCATTTCTGATCCTATTAATTTGCAAGTTCTCTCTCTGCCGTTTGATTAGTTTGGATAGGGGTTTGTCAATCTTGTTAATTTTCTCCAAGAACCAGCTT